GCTATAAGAATGGGTACTAATCGAATAGTGCCGGTGATTCTTGCAGCATTGGAAGAATCCAGATGCTGAGAAAGCCCAGAGTCACTGGTTCTCTGTGTATCCCTGTGTGCAGCGATTAGCCAACTTCCCCTGTACTTTCGTATGAATTCAGCTTAGGGGTACACATCAAGGTCGATTAATTATCTCAGGTTTCTCAATTAAATTGTTTGCTGAAAAGTCAATTGCTTGCAAAGGTGCTGGTTTATATGACAAAAAAACATCTGCACTTCAGTAACTTTTGTTACAAACCTGTCAATAGTAAAATTAATTATAACGCACTTAAGAGTGCCCACTTACTAAATTCAGTCAATCTTAATGAAAAGTACTTAGTGTACGTCGATTTGTTTCTTTAACATTTCGAAACTGAACATATTTTGTTTAGGTAAAGAGTTTGTCTTCATCGACGTCTTGCAAAATATAAGATAAGTTACTAGTTACTAGTATTTCGACTCCTCACATGCTTTGTTCTGTTCTGGTTCCCTGTTTTCTGGTTGTTCGGTCAACATACTTTAATTTCTCTACGTTTAAAATATCAATGTTCTTCATATTTAAGGCTCTTTTTGTGTTCAAACATTTTAGTCCTTTAATTTGCAGTTCCGAAATCGCACATTTGGCATCTCCAAAGGTTGAATTACTGAATTAACGCTGTACGAAATAGATCCCAGTTATTCCACTGCTTACTGTTCGGCCAGTTCCACTAGTTCAAGTTCTGCAGTGTTATCGACGTGCTGTGCACTGAAGTTTTTTTAAGCAATCAAAGGTAATTACTTAAATCCCAACCTTCGACTTATTGTACTCTTTTGATTTTATATCACATTTTATGGCCCATTGCTAAAACAACCATCCACCTGTCGTTTTTCACTTAACTTGATATAGTCTCATTAAGCAATTCACCTAGTTTTCTTTTTAACGGTAGCTACCTCAAACATGATCAGAGACACAGCAGATACCAAGTACGATTTATGCGTCATTTTTTAGTTAGTGTGAGGACCGATTGCTTGCGGACTTTTC